GTAAGCCTGGGACTATGATGGTGAAACACACATTATTACAAAATTAACCTCACTGCAGCCCACGTTTCTTTTTTCTTTTCTAACCAACTCTTCTTGTATTTCAACCTATCCTTCCTTCTCTTCCCCTTATCATCTCATTTGTTTTTTTTCCCCCTTTGATCTATATGAATCTGAGTATATACATACTCATGTGGTTTTCATAGTAGCAGTTTTCAGTATCTTTGGTCTAACAAGACTTTCATGTTGGTACAATACTGTGCCAATTCCTCGCATTTCTTTGAAGACTGTCTCATAAACTAAAGAGAAATGTTCTCATGAACTGTTTACTTTCTCAGTGGTGGGTTTTAAATTGTTTAAGTGAGAAAGGATCCTCACTGAGCATGGCTAACCAGAAATCAAAAGACAATGATTCGAGTTTCAAATGCTATTAGGTTGGGGATAAACGGAAATGAACTATAGGGTAATGAAAGAGGAAGACTAACTTCATAAAAGAGTAAAGGAAAGGGCAGTTGCTGCCACAGTGTACAGAGAAGTAAAGTCAGACATCCGTGAAGGGTGGGGGGAGTGGGGCTGGTGGCAGGAAATACATTTTGAAGACTGGAAAATGTTAAGAGGTTAGCCTAGGTTGGATAATACAAGCAAGGCTTTTGGCATCAAATATCTGGGCTTAAATTCTTACCTGTACCCAAGTGATCTTCAGCAATTAAGAGTATGAGCTGAGCATCAGTATTTCCACCATGATTTGAGGATTATATAAGTATATTGCTTAGAACACAACATGGTATTCAATAATTGGCAGCTTTTATACTTACACTTAAGGATAAAACGGTCCAAAACAAAACTACAGCCTACCAGTGTTGGCAGCTTTTAGAAAAGAGAAAATAGCTATAAATCTAAAAAACAAGAGCAGTCTCTCACAGGCTAGAGAAAGAGTCACAAGATTCACACTCAAGGCCACAAAACAGTGAACCTTTTACTTGATATTAATATTTAAAACCACACAGCTTAACAGTAATGTTAATTTTACCACTAGGTGGCAACAATACAGCTGAATTTCACTGACAAGATCAATTTTTAAAATTGAGCAAATCCAGACAGAAATTCCAAGAAGCTTTTATACATTTTCATATTAGAAAAATGAAAAATTCTTTTATATACAATTGAATTTATAGCAGGATGGATAATTATCTGATTCAATATGTATGTTAGTTTCTGATGCTTTTTCCTCTGTGCACTGAGGCAATTCATGCAATAATTTTTAAACAGTTGTCATCACAGAAGTCTTTTAAAAAAAAATCTGGACATACATCATTAAGATAACAGAAATTAGGGAAGCTAAAAGTCTCCTTGAAGTCTTAGAATTCTAAGAAAGGCACTATAAATATAAAATGCAAAATATTTCAATGAAACAGTTAAAACTTTAAAAAAATGACTGATGGAGAACATTTTTTAAAGGGCCAAAACATGAAATAATATGGAGACCCACTGCTTTTCTGCTTTTAAATTATAGATTAAATCAATATTCACAATCTTTTCAATGTCTTGAATAAACATTAAATTTACTAAGCAAATTTATCAAAAATCTGACTTAAATGGATTCTAAAAGAAAGAATACCTTTTTACAAGTGTCAAAAGAGTAAATTAAAGTCCTTAGAATCTGGCACTTTCCATAATTATTTCTGCTTTCTTCATAAAACAGGTCACAACCTATTGCTTGTTAAAAATAATAATAACTTTATTCTTCTCATTTCTTTTTCTTTTCATATCAAAGGGGAAGGTATGATAAACTTTTTCAAACTATAGACATTTCCAAGTACACAGTAAAAAAAACATAACTTTAAATTCCCAAGGTTCTTCCCCACATATAAGGTGGGAGTTCGTATTACCACATATAACATTACAAAACCTGTACTATAATTACGAATAAATAATTACCCAATTCATAATATAAGACCCAATTAAAACAAGCCTATTTATTCCCCTTGTATAAATAACCTAAAGTTCCCCAAATTTTCAACTCCCAGTTTTCTACAAATGAATAGAACAGAATAGCTCATTTATATATCAGCTTTCAAATAGTTTTCTTACTAATTTAGTAATCACTTCCTATATATTTACTTCCAGGAAAATCTCCCCCTCTTGCCACATAAACAAATGTAAGAGAACAAAAGTATGATTTCTAAGTTATTTTTATAATTCATTGATCAGTTTCCTCATTATTGGACTTCTTTTAATTATTGCAGATCACCCTGAAATCTAAAATATTTCTCATCCTGTCAGTGTATACAGATACACAAAACGTAACATTTAAGATGTTAACACAAGAAAAGATTACTGTGGCAGCCCTCATAAACCAAACAACAGATTTCAGGAAAATGCTCAATCTGTTCACTGTTATCTGTAATTTTTTTTTAGAAAGTTTAGGGAATGCCACTGTAATAGAAGGGGTAATTGCAGATCTACAAAAGTGAATACCTGTGTATATGTAATTTATATCTATACAGAATCAGCTTTCAATTATCTGCACAAATAAAGACACAGAGATGATGCAAAACATAATCCTCGAACCACTTCAGATACATTTTTGTATCTGCACTTCATAGGGCTGTGACTGAGAATTAAGAACGCAAAGAAAATTAAATCACACTGCAGAGATTAAGAGTTACAAACACAATTACCAAAACAATGGTTAACAATGACATGCCATTATTGACTTGAGGTTGTCATCTTCTGTTTATTTCTGATGGTGGCTCGAAGTTTACGTATCACGAGTTTATCAGGCAGAATCATATCACCTTGTTGTTCTAGATAATCCAATAAATTTTCAGTCCATTGGAGAGCAGCTGCATGATTAATATGTTTCTCTGGAATCAGTTCTATTTCCTCCTCCTCATTTTCACTAGATTCGTCTGTCTGGCCTTGTGCTCTTCTGATGATTTCACTGTCAGTTAACACTTCATAGCCTGGTTCAGTACTGTCCACTTCAAGCCATTTTTCAATGTTCTCAGTAGTCACATTTTCCAGTCCTTTGGTATGTTGTAAAATGGTGGCCACAGTAGCCACAGAAACATCTTCTTCATCAAAGTCCAAGCCTTCTTTCTCCTCTATGGTAGGAAGAATCTTCTTCCATGCTCTGCTAATGGTAACCGGCTTTACTAAATTCCATGCCATTGCTATTTCATAAAGTGCATCTAGCAGAGTTAGCTTCTTCCAGAATGATTTCAGGTCATTACCTTCTTCCAAGTTGTTCTGAAGAAGACCCGCACGATAATTTCTCTTCATTGTCGCTATGACTCCCTGATCCGAGGGCTGGATCAATGAAGCCACATTAGGTGGTAAATATTTAGCAAATATTTGGCCATCATCTGACCTGAGGACATTTTCATTTGGATGTGTTGGTGAATTATCCAACAAGAGCACAGCCTTTTCCTGCAGGCCTTTAGATCTTAAGTATTCTCGAACCTGTGGCACAAAGATCTTATCAAACCACTGTCGGAAAATGGAAAGATCCATCCATGCACCTTTTTGGCTGAAATAAGAAACTGGCAGGTTTGAGGTGTCAGTTGACTTGAAGGAGCGAGGTTTCTTTGCTTTCCCCACAACACAAAGTTTCAGTTTGTGTAAACCTGTTGCATTGGCACAACACATGATAGTGACTCTTTCTTCAATTGACTTGTGCCCCGAGACAGTGCATTTACCTTTGATCACAGAAGTCCTGGATGGTAGGCATTTCCAAAAGAGTCCAGTTTCATCTGCATTGTAGATCTGCTCAGGCTGTAAATTCTCTCGTTCAATAAAGTCTCGAAAGTTGTTACAAAAATCTTCCACAGCAGTCTCATCTCCATTTAATCTTTCATTTCTAATGTTAATCTCTCTAATGCTGTGCCGCTGCTTAAAACGAGTTAACCAACCAGCGGAGGGGTTAAAATCACCATCCATTCCCAAAGCATAAAAGAAGAACTCTGCCCTTTTTGCACAAATCGGTCCAGATATGGGATTCCCTTTTGCCCTTTGCTGGTTGAACCATTCTAGCATTGCTTTGTCCAGTTCCTCATACATGGATGGTTTCATAGATTTCCTCTTGGCCAGAAGACTTGTGGAATCAGAACTGCTTGCGTAAGTTATAATCTTTTCCTTATTTTTTCTTATATCCCGAACTGTTGTCTCACCAATTCCATAAATCACTGCCAGTTGTTTGGAAGAACCTCCGTCTTCAAGTTTTTTTATTATATCGAGCTTATCTTTAATAGTTAACACCACCCGCTTCCGTTTCCCTGACATGCTGAGGCTCTGGGACTCAGGGCCTCACCCCACACTCCCTCTGAAGCAATCTACAAAATCCTTCCTTCTTTCACACAGACTCACTTTAACAGTCCTACACGCTCAGTCTTTCAACCTTACCAGGAACCTGGTGGCCCTGGCCCCGTCCCCAGATGTGCTTGGCCGGCAAAGAGACGGCAGAGGAAGATGAGAGGGGAGGAAGTTTGAGGGAACAGGCCTTTAACTTAGATGGGCAGTAGAGGAGGCCCCAAGCCACCGCGGATAATCCGGATTACAAACATTTGTTTTATTCCCCCAGTGGCCGCGTTAAAGACTATAACCCCATCGTGATCACAAACCTCCTTCACGCCCTGATCCGGAGTAAACGCCGGTCACTAGCCCCTGCCACACCCCAAAGTTACTGCAGAGAGCGGAAGAACCAGGGAGTCAGAGACTAGCCCCCTTCCCCAAGTGAACGGTTAGGTTTGATTTCTTCCCCAGAAGCCAACCCCTTCCACCGCAAGCCACACTTCCCCGCGCGGGGCTTAGCCTGGACAGTCCTCCCGGCCCCTCACAGCCCGCCGGGCCCCTCTCCCCACCTCAATTGGAACCAGGACCCGCACCGCTCCCTGACTAACGCGCGGCGACCGCTCCTCCCCCAGCACACGCTCCCGGAAGATGCCCCCTCCCGCTGCCGGCCCCGCCCCTTGCTCCTCCCAGAGGCGGGACTTCCCCTGGTCCCCGGAAGGAGGAGGAGCGTCGCCAGTCTGGAGTGGGTACCTGGGGCGGAGGCAAAGGCGGAGGCAAAAGCGGAGGAGCTTTGAAAGGTGAGGGCGTGGGGCGGCGCGGGGGCAGCTCGGGGCGGGGACTCGCTCTCGCTCAGGCTGCTAATGGTTTATTAACCGAGCAGGGGAAGCGCGCCTCCCGGCAGGCGGGAAAAAAAAATTCCCGCGGGCACTCTCGGGATGGGCGGGACGACACCCCTCAACGTTGTTCTCCCCTCGCCCGCCGCCTGGGCCGAGCTGCAGTGGGCGGGGTGCCAGTTTCCTCCGCGGCGGGGAAGTGGGCAGGACTATTGGGGGAAGTTCGAGTGGTGATTTCGCGGGTTTCTGGCCTTTCCAGACTCTTGTTGGTTTTCTGGGTGCGGAGCTCTTCTGGGTCCTGGGGGATTGTGTCGTCCCTCGCACGTCATCGTGAAGCTCTAAGGGTCCGGTTTCCTAGCTACGGTGCCCCTCTCTCCCGGAGGCAGAGCAGCGGACTGGCGGGCGTGCTGCGCTGGGTGCCTGCGTTCCGCCAAAGAGCCAGGTTTGTAATCAGGAAAATGACTCTGGTGTTAATTCCCCAGAGGATCTTTCCTCTGACACTCAACCCTGCAGGATTTAGAGAACCACCTTCAGTGTTAAAAGATTTTAATGAATACTGTAGTTGTCCCGGATGCTAAGATGGCAGGATGCACTCTATGCGAAATTGTGGAGCGTTGGTTCGTGATTCTAAGTGGGGCACATTGGCTTTCCTCTCTTTATATGTTACCTTCTCATTTCCTATTTCTGTTCTGTTGTGCTGCCCTGTTTTCCAGCAGTGGAAGAACTGTGATAAATTTATTCACAGCAATGTGAAAAGAACTTAAATCAGAATCATACACTGTAGCCCTTAAATCATGTATCATGCCGGCTTGTTTTGGTGTCCCTAGTAATTTCATCAGATTGTGAGCTCCTTGGGAGCAGAGACCGTGTTGTTGATTTCTTCTGGTAACGCCACAGCTCTGAGCATGTGCTGGCACATAGTGTGTACATTCAGTAACCATTTCTTTGATCAGTTAAGGTTTCCTCAGGGAGGGGTGTTGTATTACAAACAGGAATGCACCCCTTCTGGTGGAATTTCAAGTAATGGCTGCCCTTCAAACCTTAAAAATGTAAACTGTCATCTGACAGGGCAAGTGATTCCTAGAATGAATCTTTTCTTTAGGATGAGTTAACCTCAAAGTCTAGACTAAAGAAATTGAAGTAGCATCATCAAAGTACCTTTTAGTTGTAGAGTTAGTGTGGGTGAGAGAGTAATATGGATTCTTACCTTTAACTTACTTTCTTTGGCAGAGAGCATAGCTATGTATGTGCCTTTTATGTGATATTAACTATGAAGCACAAAGATGTGATAGTATTGATTTTCTTCATTTATTTAATGCTTTCTGTTTGGAGTATTTCTGTTTTTCTCTTTGTCTAAAGGTAAGGTTTCATTAAAGAAGCTTGATTAAATTCTCATTTCAAGAAATTGAGTATATACTCAGCATATAAAGAAATTACATCCATTGCATGGATTCTTTTTTTGAGTGAATTCCAAAGACCAAGAGATGGCTTATTCATCAGCCTAGCTTCACCTTCTCATTTCTCTCCTTAGGTTCAGTTCACTCACCTTTTCCCTCTGTCATCATTCTTCCCTCCCCAGCTAACATAGGAAAAGTATTCACAATTTTAAAAGAGGAGCCTACCATATTTAAATTATCTTCTTTTTCAATGACAGAATTTTTGACATTATTGATAAAATAGCAGTTTTGAAATATGAAGAGAGAACTGGAAATTTGGCAGTTGGACAAATGAAACTTGATTTATTTTACTTAAATAAAATTTGCTTCTTCAAATATCCAGTACTGCAGTTTTCCCAAATAAATTTTTTATCTCTCATCAGAGACTGCCTTTTTTGAAATTTTTACTTTTGGACTCAATGGGGAATCCTTAAATTTTGTAATCAGTGTCATCAATAAGATGGTAGAGGGAAGTTTCAAATTTTCATCGCTTTTGCACATTCTTTTCTTGCCTATTGGACGATTTCCAGAAGTGTCTGGCCTAACTCATGTGCACTAAAATTCTGTTACATAATTTTTTAAAAAGCATGTTTGTAAACTCTAAACTATTTTGATTATTTTATGAAACTAAAATTTAGCATGAATGAGAGATAAAATAATGACTTTTTAAAGGCATAATTTTTACTACCTTGTATAAATATAATATTGGCAGCAGTCATTGTGTAGGACTGGACGGGGAATCAGGAGACCTGGTTTCTAATCCCTGCTCTGTCACTAACAAGCTGTGTGATCTTCGGTAAGTCACTTAAACTCTATGTCCTTGGCTTTGATATTTACAAATGAAGGGAGACAGTATCTTCCTTCTAGGATAATTGTCAGGATTTAAAAACAGATATGAAAATACACTAAAAAATTCCTAAACATATAGGATTTTTTCATAGCTTAACCATGTGTAGTGATAGGTATTTTTATAGTGTCATGTGCTTACCTGTTCTACCATTGTCATAGGAGTCACCTATTGATATGATAAATGTCTTTTGTGAGATAGTCATCTAGTGTACATGAAACTGCTTTTGAGGACTAATAAAATCATCTTTCATTTAATGTTCCTAATGTTCACACCTGCTTTAGTGTATCTACTGAAGCCATATTTGTCATTTGTTTTCATAAATGTTTTTTCATTATTTCTCCTAATTCAGACAGACTTATTAGAAAGACATTAGTAGTGTAATGCACTTGCACAGTTTGTGCAAATTTAACTGTATGTGCCCAAAAAATACTTATTTGTAACATATGGCTTCACAATATAAGCTGCCTGATTTATCTGGTGCTTAATTAAAAAAAAAAAAAACCAACAGTGATCTGTTCAAAATCTGGAGAAGAACCTGGGTGGATCTACTGTGAAGCAGTATGGTATATAAAAAAACATACTTTAAAGAGTAATATAGAGATTTTTTTAAAGGTGATTTTGACCACAATTCTCATCTTTGCTGATTTTATTATAAGCCTTCTGTAATATGCAACCAAAGTGTAACTTCAAGTAACAGAATATTTTGTCTGTTGACTAGGATTTGTTAGATTGCTGTTATAATGCTTAGTGTATCTCCTAGCAGTTACTGTCATAAGGTCACTCTTCAGCCTACACTATAAAGAAAATTTTTGGTATATAATCTTAGCAACCGTTATCCTGATTTTATATGAGGTGTTACCATTGTAGAAACTGTCACATTGCTTTTAAACATAACAGAATTTGTACAATCAAATGAGTGGTGTTTCCCCCACTCCCACCCATCCAAAAAAGGAATCATCTTGGAAAGCCATAAACTTGATTCAGTGATACTACCATTGCTCAAAAAATTGTGGCATTCTATTTTTTGATTACCTTCAAAGTTACAGCACATTTAAAAAATATCTGTAATGGTAATTAATATTCATATTTTGAAATTGGATTTAATTTCTGGAAGCTGCTAACAGTCCCTAAACTAAGACAAGTCAATAAAATAGGTATTTAAGCCACTTTTTGGGATTAAAAAAAATGGAGTGGGGTTATTTTCATATTTTTATGTATTGTTTGATACTATGTTTTATAGAAAATCTCCAAGAATATTCTGGGCCATAGTGCAAATATTGGAATAATTAGTCTCATAAGGTGATTTCTTTTGAAGGAGATAGCACTCAATAGAATATATAAGTTCTTATGCATATATTATGAGGTCAGTCTCATTACATTGTGATCATATGTCTAATTCCTTAGCAACTACAGAAGTATATATGTGTTACTGTTCTAGTTATCTTACTTGTCTCTAATTGTTCCTTTATTATGTACTTGTGATAATTTTAATGGTGGTCAGCCTTCTCTGAATCAGAAACTTACAGTATTTGTTTTCCTTCCCAATATCATGTTCTGCTTCACCATGAAACTATTTTTTCACCCAATTTTGGATTATTAGTAAGTTTTCTGTTGGATTATATCTTTAACTTTGAGTGGTTTAAAGCCACTGCCATTTTACTAAAGTATATAGAAGCTACAGTCTTAGTGGATAGGTGATCTCTTAATTTTACAATGCTATCTTTTGTCAGCTACTACTTTATAACTTTCTTCATATAAATTGATTGCTCCTTTATGTTATAATTCATATCATTTCTCTGTTCAGAATCCTTGGCCTAAGGATGAATGATTCTAGTAATCCCACCCTATGTTTCTATACTTGTCTCTTTTTTTCCAGCATAAAGCCTTTCTTCACACCTTTTTTGGTCACACTTACTTACTTAACATACCATGTTCTCTCTCAGTGCCGAAGTTTTGACCTTACCATTTTTACCTGCCTGAAATCCTTTTTTCTGTCATTCTTTTTGTTGAAATATAGCCAGTCCTTTAGAAGTCTATCAGATCATATCTGTTCAATAAAATCTTCAGTGAAGCACTTGCTATACTGTACTTCCTGCATCTTTATAATTTTATTGCAGTTATTTTTATCTCTCATTTTGTACTAAAGGAATACCTTGCATTTTTCTTAATATATGTTTGTATGTTCTACCCATGGATAATAATCTTCTGGAGAACAGGACCATTATTTTTCTGTGTATCCTTTCAGCACAAAATATAGCATAATTCAGAATAAATGTTCATACAGTTATTTCATAGATGTTCAATAAATTATATGTTGAATAAACTATCTTAACTCAGATATTTTATGTGATTTTTACCTTTGTGAACCATTTTATAACACCAAATAAATATAGTTTGTACCATAAATGCATTCATTGTTGTAATCTGGTTATCATTATTATATTCCTAATAACTTTATTTTGTAGAAGCTTAAGTGAAAATGGTACATGTTAGAAGACACGAAACAAGGAAAAATTCTAAAACTCAAGAGCATGAGCAGAAATCTCGAGTTGATTGGAGGCGGACTAAAAGAAGTAGTATCTCACAGTTATTTGATAGTGACGAAGAGCTTGACAGTGACGAAGAGTTTGATAGCGACGAAGAGCTTGACAGTGATGAAGAGCTTGACAGTGATGAAGAGCTTGATGATAACAAGGGGCTTGATAGTAATAAACAGCCGGAAAATGAAAGAGAACTTAGATTAATTAAAGTTGAAAGTGAAAGTAGTAACTGTGAGCATCTCATGAACACTGGCAACAGTTCAGCATATGAAGAAGAAAAGAACAAAAACAAATATAGAAGTGTTGAGTTACCAGATCATGGAAAACATTCAAGTCAAGAGGATGATGATCTCAACAAACACACTGGACAAATAATAGAAGAGGACTTAGAAGAAGAACACATCAAGCGAGGGAAGAGAAAAAGGATCTCCTCTGTTATGTATGACAGTGATGAGAGTGATGATAGTGATATCCTAGTTAGAAAAGTAGGTGTTAAACGTCCACGTAGAGTGGTTGAAGATGAATGTTCTTCAGTTGAGATGGAGCAAAAAAAACCTGAAAAAACTCTAGCTGCAAGAAAGCGAGAACAACTCCAGAAACTGAAAGAACTCTCAAAACAAAGATCTCGTCAGAGACGAAATAGTAGTAGAGATTTTGAGGTGTGTTATATTTTATTGGTTTTGTTACTGTTTTTAAATTTTTCCTTAAAGTATTTATTTTTTATAAAAATCAAAGTGTTGAGTCTGTTCTATTTCTCAATTCTTGAATTTATTTTTCAATCAAGTATCCTTGAACATGTTTGATTGCACTGTTGTGTCTAATATATAGTTTTATCATGAGCCTCAGTTTATCATTCTTTTAAAATTGAAAGACTGTTTCATATGGTCTTTCCTCTTTTTAACTTCTAATTATAATCTTAATGTCCACTTTAAACATTTTATATCATTTACCAAGGTATATTATCTTCTTCCTAATTCCAAAAGTTCAGCATTTAACATGATAAGACTTTTTTTTAACCTTACAATATGATGTTAATTTCCATGGATCATTGTTTTGGTTTCAGATTTAATCTTTTAATTTCATATCCATACTGACAATTTAAGGGTACAAATTTACTGAAGGATGTGTTTTAATTTAATTAGGACTCTGAAAAGGAATCCTGCCCAAGCAGTGATGAAAATGATGATGAGGAGGAGGAGGAGGAGGAGGAGGAGGAGGATTATGAATATGATGAAGATGGAGATGATTATATTATTGATGACTTTGTAGTTCAAGATGAGGAGGGTGATGAAGAGAATAAAAGCCAGCGAGGAGAAAAATTGACTACATCACAACTGAAATTAGTAAAACAGAATTCTCTTTGTAAGTTAATATCAAGAAAATGTTTTATGACTTGCTCTAATCATGATATTATATCAAGTATCAAATCAGCCTTTTACTATATGTTCTAAGTCATTGATGAGGAACTATGGTTTTATTTTTAGGTAATTTTGTCACTCTGATAATAGTCTTTTCTAGTAGTTTCAGGAACCCTTTATACTCAAAAGTTATTGAGGACCCCAAAGAGCTCTTGTTTTTGTGGGGTTTACCTATCAACATTTACCACTGTAGAAATACAAAACAGAGAAATTTAAAATATATTTATTAATTAAGACTTTAACATTAATAAGCTTGTTAACATGTTAACATAAATACCATTTTTATTAAAAATAACTATTTAAAAAATAAAAATGGCATTGTTTTACATTTTAATAATTGTATTTAATATATAGCTTGATAGAAGGCAGCTAGGTTCTGATACCTGCTTTTGCATTCAGTATTTTGATGTTTTGGTTGAAGTAGATGAGAACAATTTTGCTTCACACAGATAGGTAGCTGGAAAAGGGAGAAAGATTTTAAAAGTATCTTCAAAATAATGTGGATATTCTTATTTGTCACTATACCACAATTCAACAAGTGATTGTTTCTTAAAGTTAGTTGCAATATGGAATCGGAAACCATATAAACTCATTTGTATCGTTTATATATGCAACTAATTTTAATCCCTACTTACATTGCATTCCATTAATCTGTCTTGCAGTTTGAATGGATCTTTTACCCATACATGACTTTGTAACATCATGCATTAGTCATTTGGAAAACATTGGTTCACTGGGTTATGTAGATCTTCCAAATGTTGACACATTTCTTTATATAATATTTTCAGAATTACATCTGTTAATATCACCACCAATCTCATCAAAAATTTTTTTAGGTATGGGGAAGCTGTCCAAGCTCACAGTAGTAGCAGATACAAGTTTTCTAAAATTCTAATTTCTACTTAAAAATCTGTTTTTTTTTTAATCTCTGGCAACAAATACTGTGAATTCTTGAAATCACAGGTTCCTTTTGTTCTTTTTTGAGAAAATTGACAAATGCCTGAATATCCATTGTTTGTCAGTTGTTCGTTCGTTCTTCTTCTTTCTTTCGTTTTCTTTTTCTTCCTTCCTTCCTTCCTTTCTTGTAAGTAAGTAAGTAAGTAAACTTTGCACCCAGCATGGGGTTTGAACTCACAACCCTGAGATCATGAGTCACATGCTTGTGGTGCCTGGGTTGCACATTCCATTAAGTATCCGAGTCTTGGTATCTCTGTTCAGGTAGTGATCTCAGGGTCCTGAGATCGAGCCCTACATTGGGCTCCGCCCTCAGCACAGTCTGCTTCAGATTCTCTCTCCCTCCTGCTCCTGCTCTCTCTTTCTCTCTCTCTAAAATAAATAAATTTTAAAAAAAGAGTTGCATGCTCTACTGACTGAACCAGGCTGGTGCCCTGTCAGTTGTTCTTTCAAGTAAACATGGTGTTTCATGATAAATGAATCTTTTTCAGCTCCCAACTCAGTTTTTCCTCAAAGTATGATTGATCATACTATGATACAGCATAGGTCCTTTATGCATACTTTCCATTTCATCCCATTGAATACTAAAAAGATGTATGTTCAAGATTTAATAAAATTAATAGTTTTTACTACTTCATCAAAGACATTCTTTAGTGAAAGTAGCTTTTTACTGAATGTATAGCAATGATGACTACAGTGATTACTAGTGGTTTGGTGCTACTGCCGTAATTCATGTTAGGGAGCCAGCTGCCTTACCCATAGTGACTTTTTGTGCCATCATTGAAAATGTCAACATGGTAAAAACAGCATGATTATCTTAGTGTTATTATTTTGATTTCATCGATCCCCTATAAGTCTGTAGACTTATAGGTGTCTACAGACCACACTTTGAGACCCTGACAATTTAGGGTATCTTAGAATATGTATTATTTTTCTAATCCCTATAATTGTGCATAAATCCAAAGACTGTTTTTATGATGTTTTACAACTCTGGCAGAAACAGGCTGTTGAGTGAATACATTTTTTATTTTTTTCTTCAAGAATGGATTTTTTCCAGTTTTTTTAAATGGTCATATTTACTAAAATTATGTGTAACATGGTTCAATATGAATCTCGTGATTTATAATAAAATAGTAGATTGAGGTATGGATTAAATTTCAAGAAATTTATCAGTTATAGAGATGCCAGTGATAAGCATCTATATTTCAAAAGTCAGTGACTACTTTCCTTACATCAGTAGTCACTTGTTCGCCTGCCACCTGGACACGGAAGTTTTACCGAAACTCAATTAGGACATATCCCATCATTCTGGATATAATATCTAGAATGTGATAGAACATTTTCTCAGTGATACCTACTCATGCCTACTCCTGCTAATTAATGAAAATTAAAGTTCATCATTCCTTCTCTATTCTACATCTCTATGCTTACTCTTGTTTTTTAAGGGATAATTTTAGATTTATTGAAGAGTAGAAACTACAGAGAGTTCCTACATAACCCCTCTCACACACAGTTTCCCTATAATTAACATTTTGCAATAATTTGGTACATATGGTAAAATTGATGAGCCAATATTGATACAGTATTATTAACTATAGTTCATATCTTATCTCAGGGCTCACTCTTTGTGTTGTACATTCTGTGGGTTTTGACAAATACATAATGATACAACAGGTATCCATCATTACAATATCATACAGAATAGTTTCACTGTCCTCAAAATCTCCTGTGTTCTACCTATTCATTTCTTCCACCCTCCACTGAACTCCTGGCAACCGCTGATCTTTTTAACATCTCCACAGTTTGCCTTTGCTGGACTGTTTTATAGTTGGAATTACACAGCATGTATCCCTTTCAGACTGAATTTTTTCACTTAATAATATGCATTTACGTTTCCTCTATGTCTAATGTGGCATGATAGATTATTTCTTTTTATCACTGAATAATATTTCATTGTATGGATGTGCCACAATTTGTTTATTCATTCACCTGCTGAAGGACATGTCAGTTGCTTCCAAGTTTTGGCAATTATGAATAAAGCTTCTATAAATATTTGTGTGCAGATCTTCTATGGATACAACGTTTCAACTCATTTGGATAGATACCAAGGAGCTCTGTGCTTGCTTCAACTATTGAGCATCTCCACCTCAGAGAGAGATGAATCTCTTTTTATGCAATACATTTTACCTTGTCTGTTCCTAATTGCAACTTCTTTCGGCTTTATCCTTACAAGTTGTCTTTTCTCAACTTGTAACCATATTCATGCCTTTCCTCCCTTGAGTTGGTATGTTTCATTAACCACTATTCAAAATTGTATCCTTTGTTCCAGTTTCCCATTAACTCTACCAAGCATTGTTGAGCTCTTGCACCCATCAATCCAGTGAAATTGCTCTCATTAAAGTTAGTGATTACTTCCTAGTTGCCAAAATGCTTGTCAGTTCTTATGTTAACGTGATATTGTTAATGTGTTTTGCCACTAACAATTGATCATTCTCCCTTTTAGAAAGTTCTCTTTTTAGCTTCTGTGGTACCATTCTATCTTGTCTTCCCCTTTATAATACTGCTTTCCTCTTTTTCCATTTGCCGTGTAAATATTGATGTTTCTAAAGGTCATCCTCAAACTCCCTGGCTTGTGCTTCAGGCATTCTCCTCCCATAACTTTAGCCCAGTCTATGGGCAAAAATTGCCAAACTTTTATTTCCAGCACAGATTTCTCCAAAGCCTAAATCACAGTTTTTCATCTTACTGAACATTTTCATCAGGGTATCTTTCAGACACCTCAGACTCAATATGTGTAAAACTAAATAATTGAGCAGTAACATAAAGGAGTTTTGGGGTGGTGTAGAAATACTGTTTTCTTGGTTGTCATGGTGGTTACATAACTTTATGCATTTGTCATAGAACTGTACACCAAAAAGAGTGAAATTTATGGTATGTAAAAAAAAGTAAAACTCAATAGAGAGCCAAATAAATGGGCATCCCCACTTCCAAAAAATAACCTCAATGGTTAATCCACTTCACTTCTCTTTGCATTTCTCACACCATTTAAAGTTGATGATACATTATAGGAACTCATTGTTAGTTGGATGGATGGATGATTAAGATAAGTGTATTGACTAAAGGCTCTTGGGTCTATACTTCAAGACAGAGAAATGTTAGATGTGATAAGATTTCTTAAAAACATCAGAGGAAAACAACCCCACACATTTTAGAGTGATAATGTATGACTTGTTTTTAATACTTATAAATGTTTATGCCATTTATGAATATAATAAACAAAATTAAATGTAGGCAGTTTCCAATTTGTCAAGGGATAATGATCTAAAAGTCGCTATAGGTTAATTCTTACACTTTAAAAATATATTTTCTCATTAAAGTAATAACTTATGTGATTATAATAATAAACATGTTGTGGCCTTGGTTAGGCTATAATTAGGGTGATATTTGCAGATTCATTCTCTTCCCAACCTCTCTAAGAACACTGACAACTACTCATAGCCAACGTATGATCACAATTTGTGAGAAACATTTCCTAATTCCAAATTCACTACTCAGGTGAGAATCACAATGAGTGGCCAATGCAGTTTTACCTTTTGGATGAGAACAGTTCTACCTATATGAAGACATTTTGTCACTTCCTCATTATCTGCCACTTGGCTCTGAGAGATGTGTCTGTAACACCTCAGAATAGTTTCCTTTTCTACTACACCTTTGATGCAGTTGAAGACAATCATGGTCTTTTTTCCTTCTCATAAATCCCCCTGTATTTCTCTAAATTTATTTTGAGACTGCAGCTCCCAGAAAAGATATGATAAAAAGTAGAGGGATAGACTAGCTGTGGTCCACTGTATTGCAGACCTATAATGTTCACATGCTAATAATAATATACACAGATAGATAGGAATAACCTTCAGATTTGTGGATACTGAAAATTGTTTTTCCAGTACTCTATGATATGTTCAAAGTGACAGAGAAGGAAGTATAGACAGA